GAGAGAGAGAGAGAGAGAGAGAGAGAGAGAGAGAGAGAGAGAGAGAGAGAGAGAGAGAGAGAGAGAGAGAGAGAGAGAGAGAGAGAGATTTCAGATAAAGTGAATGAGAACTTATTTATGATATGGTGTATGTGTCCTAGCAGGGGGAGGAGCATAGCACACACCTGAATGCTCATAAATTAAGAGAGCCGGTTAACCGACCCCCCATTTTTCACCTCATTTTATAAGAAAACCATAAGGCCATTTCAAGCAAACTCCACACCAATGTATAGAGTGCACTTCTTACTAACACATTATAAAAAAAAACAAAAAACAAAAAATTAAAAACACATAAAACAGCACCTCAAAAGTCCCCGTTAACAGCTTGTGTAAATTAAATAAATTTATCCTTCAGCTTAATTCCTATGCAATAATAATAATATAATATAATATAATATAATATAATATAATATAATATAATATAATATAATATAATATAATATAATATAATAGTTTCTTGGTCAGAGATCAGAGACTTGGTGCTAATGCATAGGATCTGCCGAGGGACCTTCTGCTTTAGGAAAATACTAAATATCTTATGAGATCTCCAGCCGGTGACGGTGGTGATATTATTTTTGGAGGTGAGACTATGTGTTTTTTTCTTTCTGGGATTTAAGAGCGTCATGGCCTTAGAAGTTCCAACTCCTGAGAGGTATAATAAGAATCAACGCTCTTATCAAGTTATCATCACCTTACATTTTCTATTATTTGCCCTATCCATATTTTTTCGTTCTGTATGGCTTGTGATGATCTGTGAAGGCAATGCGAGAGAGAAATCTGGGGTCCGTTAAAACAACACACACACACACACACACACACACACACACACACACACACACACACACACACACACACACACACACACACTCAACGCTTTGTCAAACACCCAATCGGGTTGTTTCAAAAAGAAAAAAAAAAGCATGAGCACATGACCACTTGAACAATTTTTGGTCGAGTTATTCCCAAATTATTCGACCAAAAGAACTTCGTCAAAAACACGGTCTCTCTCTCGACTCAAGTGAACTCGTTTCCCAGACAGGGTTTCTCAGGGCATAGTCATGATAGCTTTCCTAGATGCATCTGACTGCAATTACATCCAGACTTGAATGAATTTGACTGCAATCAAGTCACGTCCACAGCTGAGTCCAGAAAGTCCTAGTGTGAGAATGCCCTCAGTTCCCAGAGAAATGCATCCCCCCTTTAAGGATTACGCGCTAGAACTACAGCTGACGTGCTGGGCTATGCACAGACACACACACACACACACACACACACACACACACACACAGAGAGAGAGAGAGAGAGAGAGAGAGAGAGAGAGAGAG